TCAGTTAGAAAGTAGCACTGGTTCAAAATCAAGAAGCCAAATGCAAGACTTTAGAACAAAGAACAGTACAGCACAGCACAGGCCCTTCGGCCCACGATGTTGTGCCGACCTATTATCCTACTAAGATCAAACTACCCTGCATAACCTACATTATACTATCCTCCATGTGCCTATCCAAGAGTCGCTTAAAAGTCTCTAAAGTATCTGAGTCCACTACCACTGCCGGCAGCGCATTCCACACACCCACCATCACTGTGTGAAGAACCTACCCCTGACATCTCCCCTACTCCTTCCTCTTCGAGCGAAAGAAAGAAGAATTTAATTACTTTCCAATCCCGCGAAAAATAATGAAACATGACATGAAGTTCAAAAGGGGGCACCTAAGTAAGAAGATCAAAAATAGACAGTTTTAAAGAGAAAAACGGTCCTTAAGTTGTTAGGTTTCAATCTAAGCCCATGGTTATTTAATTCATGTCTTGAATCTGCAGCACTGGTGAAATTTATTGTTCTTGGTTCAACAGACATTTCTCCAGGGCGGCTTTGCAGTGGTTCTTTGGCTTAGTTAGCTGGTTTGTAATGTTAAGTGCAACCCACAGTGTAGTTTACTTCACTTCCTGCACTGCCTGGGATTACCAGGAAGGCCCCTCCTTTCTCAACCTTTCCCTGTTCTTGAGGTGTAAACCACCGACAGTTGGCTATGGTTCGCAGGGTAGGATACCCTCGAGAACTCACTGCCAAAGTGCGGCATTCCCACAGACACCTGAGAATCACTGGCCTAAGACAATCCAAAGTGGAGGAGGAGCCATCGAGCATCTTGAGACTTGCTGTCGGGAAAAGGCAGAAGCCAGGCGAAAACAGAATAAGGATCGCGCTCAACAACAACAACAACAACAACAAAGTTGCTGGAAAAGCTCAGCAGGTCTGGCAGCATCTGTGAAGGGAAAAACAGAGTTAACGTTTCGGGTCTGGTGACCCTTCCTCAGAATGGATGGTGGCTGAGAAAACATCAGTTTATATGCAAAAAATAGGAAGGGGGGTGGGGTACGGAGTAAGCGATAGGATGGAGCCTTAGGAGAGAGAAAGACGGTTAGATAGACAAAGGAGTTGCTAACGATCAGGCTGGGAGGGTGAGTAGTTGTTAATGGGAACTGTTAGTGGCTAACAGTGTAATGTGGTGTAGTGTAATGGCAGGCTATGTGATAACAAGGCCTGGTGTGTGGGGTAGGGGGCTGGGACATGGGAGAGTTTAGGCCCTAAAGGATCGCGCTGTCACACCAATGGTCCACCCAGGAGCATTTCTGCTCCAGGTATGGTATAAAACCTGAAGAAGCTACATCGGTCTGTACAGCCACCTACAGACTCACCCTGAGAGTGGAAGAGTGTCATCCTCATCTGCGAGGGACCGCCAAAGAATGACGATGAGGTAAGGCTATAGTGACTTCACCTTTATTGCCAGGCACTGCTTTTTGATAGCCTGAGAGAAAACGCTTGTATATCGGGTCTACTTATTGTTCTATTGCTCCAAATCCATCTTCCTTCTCTCTCCCCACAGGCTGTTTCCCTGAAATACAGTTTGCTTGTAAATCCCCATCAATTTTTTTTCGAGCTGGATATCACAAAGGTGAGACTTTTGTCTCAATGTGTGAAACTTCCAAAAAAAAGGCGTGAATCATCCAGGAAATTTGTACGTTTATATAACAATGTTATATATGGCACAGGCTAATTCCTTGTTTATTGATCATTTCATGAGCTTAGCTCAACCTGATCAGGTGAGCTCTGTGGCCATTTTGAGTCAGTGCGTATCCTTTTTAAAAACAGTTTAAGTCTATAAACGGATTATTAAAAATGAATGATTGACAAACCACTAATAGTAGTGGCACCAACATAATACTTTAAGAATGCATTTAGGGTTCATTTGAGGTGGCAAAATATAGAAAAGCAGAATCTTAGTTCGATCACACTAGCTGTACACAGTCTGAACTCTATTATCAAAGGCATAAAATCTCTCTCAAAATTTATATATCCCAAACAAGGCATCAGATTTTGAGTGAAACACAAAAAGTGCTGGAGGAGCTCAGCGAGTCTGGCATCATCTTCAAAGAGAGAAACAGGGTTCATGTTTAAAATCTGGTGTGCCTCTTCTTCAGAATTTCTTCTGTTTTGAAAAGGAATCATGAGAAAAGTTCTGATTTCCAGCATCTGCAGTTTTTGTTTGCGTTTTTGTCAGACCTTTTGCAGAAAATTCTATCTCTACGAGTTGTATTTACTATCAGAAAAGGTTGGAGCAAGCCTGGGACTGTTTCTCGATGGAAGACTGAGTGACAACCTCATGGGTTTCTGGAAGATTATGAAAAGGTTGGATAGTGTGGATGTGGAGAAGATGTTTTTTATACATGAGTGCAGAACTACCAGGCCACCAATGTCAGGTAGTTGCTTTAGAAGGCCAAAACCTGGCAGCTAAATCGCACAGATGTATGATTTCCTGGCCACACATCTTGCAGCGGAACATAATTTTGTTGGTGCAGAGAAAGGCCACTAGAGGGCAATATATTACACAGACTGTGATTAGTGAGACATTTCGCTGCACCCTCAGATAGATGTGAAATATTCCCTGCCACTGAATGCAGGATGTTCTCCCCAGCGGCCTGACTGACATTTATTGAAAGCACTGCGCTAAGCCTGAAATGTTCACCTGCTTTCTCTCCGCTAGACCCTGCTGAGTTTCTCCAGCGATTTCTATTTGTCACAGTAGCATGCTTGCTGATGCCCCAGGTTTATGGGATCTTGCGGTGCACAAATTTGACTGCCATTTTCCGATGGCCAATGACGCTAGAAAATTTCGCCTCAAGGCGGCACGGAGTACTTTTGAGGCTGCAGGCGGTAATGAAATGCAGGCCTTTCTTTTCTTTGATTGCGCTTCAAGGGTGTGGAGATTAAAAGGGTCACCAGTGGCTGAGTAGCCCACATTGGGGGTGAGATAGCATGGAGTTGCCACAGAGTGAGAGTCAGGGAACCAAAGCTACCAGAGACTGAGAGACAGCGATGAACAAGAAAGCAATGTCTTCGCCATTGCAGCAAAAGAGGGATGCCTCCTTTTCTTTTGGCAAGTTTTCTGTTTAATAGTTTTTGTCTGTTTTGCTGTCAGGACCAGAGTTAATGAGGCTAAACGTCGTAGTCTTTAACAAATCCCCAAACTGAGACGGGGGCAGGCAGGTGTCTGAAGGTTGAGGTAAACACTGTCATTATTTACACATTAGTTACACCAGCCCTAACATTAATATTCTCCAACTGCCATGGGATCATGTGATGCTGATAGCCTTAACATAGAAGTAAACTGTGACAAGAGGGACTGGATAATGATATATGATAAAAACAATTCTGTCTCAATGAAAGACAGCAAGAACTGCAGATGCTGGAGTCAGAGATAACACAGCGTGGAGCTGGAGGAACACAGCAGGCCAAGCAGCATCAGAGGAGCAGGAAAGTTGATGTTTCGGGTCAGGACCCTTCTCCCCATTTCTGAAGAAGGGTCCCTATCCAAAACGTCGACTTTCCTGCTTCTCTGATGCTGCCTGACCTGCTGTGTTCCTCCAGCTTCACACTGTATTGACTCCACATTGACCAATCCATTGAAGGTCCACTGTCTGGAGCAGCAAGGACTGCAGGGTCAAATAGTTTCTTGGGTAAAGGTGGCAGGAAGAGAGACACTGAAATGTCAGTGTCTACGGGAGTGGAGCGGGGAGATCAGGCAAATAAAAATGAGGAATATAGATAAAGTTAATGGTTGTTGTCTTTTCTCTAGGGTGGGGGATTTCAAGGTGAGGGGACACATTTTAAGAGGAGAGGAGAAAGATTTTTTAAAAAAATGAGGGGCAAATTTTTTACACAGAGGGTGGTTCGTTTGTGGAATGAACTTTCAGAGGAAGTGGTGGATGCATGTACAGTTACAATGTTTAAAAGACATTTGGATGAGTACATGAATTGGAATGGTTTGGAGGGATATGGGCCATGAGCAGGCAATCGGACTAGTTTGGTTTGGGATTATATTTGGCATAGACTGAAGGGCCTGTTTCCGTGCTGTATGACTCTATGTGTGTGTGTATGAGTAATGAGAAAGTCAGAGTTTCAGTTATGGTTATAGCATTTGCTATAACTATTATAAACGCCCTAATTATTGTCAGCGACAAAAGTCTTCACATGTGCTCCTTCAACCCACATTACTTTTACAGCCAGAGTCATGAAGTTGCAATGGTTGCTAATCTGTTATTTTACCTAGCATTGGACTCTGGGTTATATTGTCTGTTGTGACTACTCATGTCTTCCTTTGTTAAGGTTAGGGTTATCTAGTTTATCAACAGGTGCCTGCTTTATCCAACTTCTCCCACATTTTCCTTTCTCAAAACCTGTCCGATATCACACCGCCGCATCTCTTGTCACTTCCCCCAGGGTAAAGCAATTCGCTAATCTTTTGAGGGAGGGGGTGGGGAGAAAACAGAGAGAAAGTTTGTTGAGTTAAAGCATTTTGAATTCTGGCCTAAAACTACAGGGGGAGAAGTTTGGCCAATATTGAAATTGCTAAGCGTTTTTGGACAAGCAAATTCATTTCAAGTGCAGCTCTCCTTCCTATTCTGTTCTGACTTTTATTTATAAGGTGTTTGACTGACTCTTGAGCAAGAGCTTGCTGAGCAATTCTTGATTACAGAATGCTTCGGGCAATGTGTCCATGTTGACAGTGTAAATAAATCACTGGGGGTTTTTTTCTCTCCCTCTCTCACTCTCTTCCCCACCCCCCTCTCGAAATAACACACCAGCTCACAGGGGACGGACTAACGATAAGAGAGAAACTGAACCGGCAACATTTTGCCTGGGTCATGTCAGCACCAATCAGTGTGGTCCCTGGGTGGAGTTACGTAACTGATCCCTGGGAAGACAGGTGTATAAGTAAGAGGTGCAAGGTGTAAACAATTTGATAGTTGCTTTAATTACCGCAAGAGAGTCTGCAAGTTGATTCAACCTTGCCTGACCTGAAGAGAGTATGAGTTCATTTGACCTCCAAACGCAGTCACCCCCTCGATGCAGCCCTCAGTTCCCCAGCATTGGTCAGGAGCCCCCAGAGGTGAATATCTTCTGTGAAAACTTCTTCCACCAGCAGAACGCTCAGCGGCCGTCCAACTATGACATTGAGGACTACAGTTCATCCGGAAACCCCTACCTCTGGCTGAACGGACCCCCAATGAACTCCTCGTCTTACCTGCCTGGTTCCAATGGCAGCCCCTTCATCCCGCAGTCGTATGGGATGCCCAGGCAGTTCCTCCCCAACAGTGGCAGCTTGGGGGGCTCGGATCTGGGCTGGCTCTCCATCCCCAACCAGGAAGAGCTGCTGAAGCTGGTGAGACCCCCGTACTCCTACTCGGCTCTGATTGCAATGGCGATCCATGGAGCTCCGGACAAGAGGCTGACCCTCAGCCAGATCTATCAATACGTGGCCGACAATTTCCCCTTCTACAATAAGAGCAAAGCTGGCTGGCAGAACTCCATCCGACACAACCTCTCACTCAACGATTGCTTCAAGAAAGTCCCCAGAGACGAGGATGATCCAGGTAAATCACCTTTTGGCTTTGAAATCCGGGGTTTGTGTCTCTCTCTTCTATCATTGATACACGTCACTGATAGATTTGTGAATGCAACATTGGCCACACATCCTGGCATCATTGTTCAGCACTTTTTTACCGGCAAGGTTTGAAATATTGATTGAAGTTCAATGGCACGACACTAATGAGCTGGTGATCAATGCTTTAGAATGTCACTCCAATATCAATGCTCCCTATGGAGACAGCTTTCACCTCGTCTTTAAATTGAGTGGCCCAGATGGTGCAGAGTCAACACACTCTGTGCAGAGCAAGGCCAACATTGAGCTTTTGGCTTTAACGTTCTGCTTGGTGCACGTAGAAAGGAAAAACAGAGGGAAGCAAGGTTTTTTTTTATATTGACACATCTGTGGTCCTGGGAGAACATGTTGACATCTCCGGGTAACAGATGAGCCCATGGGTAGAGAGGGATTAGCTGAAGGTAGTCCTGAGGGATAGACAAATGTGTACAACAGCACAGAGTTGTGAAGGTGGGCAATGTTTGCTGTTCGAGCTGAGGGAAGCCATTCCCAAACTGGGAATGGATTCCCATGCATTTTTTGATGAGCTGACGCAGTTCGCTGCCTCTTGACATCTCACGGTGTGTTTTTCTCTCTCTCTCCTCCCCCTCTTCCCCTCCCATTCCCACATAATGCAGGGAAGGGAAATTACTGGACCCTGGACCCCAACTGTGAAAAAATGTTCGACAACGGAAACTTCCGGCGCAAGAGGAAGAGGAAGTCTGATCCCAACTCCTCAGCCAGCAATCTCGGAGCTGAGAAATCTGACGACAGTGCCCACAAGGCTCCCCAGAGTCCTGGAATCCCAGACACCTCCTCTGCTCGGACAGGAACCTCTCCAGAAAAGAAATCCCCAGCTCCCCTTTCGGCTCCCTGCCTCAGCAACTTCATTTCCAGTATGTCCACATACAACAATCCACCAGGAGGGAGGCAAGCTCCCCTTGGACTAGTCAGTGATACTTCCCAGAGAATGGGACAGGGCATGATGGGCTTCAGTTCGTACTCGCCTTCCGGGAACATCTTGAGCCAGTCCGGGACAGAATGGTCCGACCCGGGAACATCAAACCATTACGGATACTCTTCAGTCCTAAACCAGTTCAACAATCACTTCTACAACAGCATCAATGCCAACAGTCTGTTGTATTCCAGGGAAGGTACAGAGGTGTGAATGGAAGATTTGCACAATGAAGGATCGATGTAAAAAATCAATAATTACAACAACAGAAAAAAAATCCATTTGATGCTGTGTAGTTTATTTATGAGAAAACATTTCATGAGAATTGTATTCCAGTGTTTTAACTCTATAATTGGTTTAAGAGGATACTTGTGTCACTTAAAACCAATGATCTTGAAGCTTGGGGAGAGCAGTTGTATATTGTGGTGTTTCAGGAGACTCTATAATGTTTGGACTGAGGTTCTGAATAAGTAACATTGACATCAATGAGACCATATGACCCAGGAGCACAATAGCCCATTTAGTCTGCTCCATCATTCAATGAGATCAGGATAATGATCTGATGATCCTCAACTCCATTTTCCTGCCTTTGCCCCTTAACTGATTAAAAATCTGTCTGTCTCAATCTTGGGTATAATTAACAGCCCTTTGCGGTAAAGAATTAATAGACCATTTCCAAATCTCCAGGCCCACAACATTCAAACAGAGTCCATGACTATCAGAGAAAAGTTGGGATTGGATTTGAGAGTTACATTTTCCAGGGCTAACAGGCTCCCTTGGCCACTGGATCAAAGTTCACATGCCACATTAACGCAATACTTTCTGAGCCCATCCCAACAAGGCAGCCTCAGATTGGGCGGCGTGGTGTCTCAGTGGTTAGCACTGCTAGCCTCACAGTGCTAAGGACCCAGGTTCGATCCCACCCTCGGTCGACTGTCTGTGTGGAGTTTGCACATTCTCCCCATGTCTGCGCGGATTTCTGCCATGTGCTCTGGTTTCCTCCCGCAGTTCAAAGATGTGCAAGTTGGGTGGATTGGCCTTGCTAAATTGCCCTGTAGTGTGCAGGCATGTGTAGGCTAGTTGGATTAGCCATGGGAAATATGTGGTTACGGGGATAGGGTAGCAGGGTGGGCCTGAGTAGAATGCTCTTCAGAGGGTCAGTATGGACTGAATGGCTTGCTTCCATACTGAAAGGATTCTATAATTGGATCTGAAGAAATGAAAATCCAAAAGGTTGTAGGCTGCTCTGAGGTCAATTGAAGATTATTTGTTGTAAGTGCCTGTTGTTGCTACAGATCCAACAAATAATCTTCAATTGACCTCTGCTCCTGAGCTCAGTAAGAGTAAAACTCATTCCCCCCAATCGCTATCCAGTAACTATCTGTTAGAAAGCGTGCAGGCTTTGGCTGGAGACCAAGAACGGGTTTCGCTCACTGTGATGATCTTCACAGTTGATAAACCTGAAAAATTCCCTCCCTGCCTTTTGCAATGAATGGGAAGGTAGAAAGCACCTGACATAATAGTACAGTTTTTGGGGGAGGGAAGAAGAACATTGGTAAAGATCCAAAACTATCAATAATTTAATGCATGCATCCAATGCTGACAGTCAGTATAGTTACTTAAATGGGAAGATTAGAGTCAGTATAATAATATCCTATTGAGTGTTTTAAGATACCTGAAGTGAGTTAACACTGCTAAGTGGCATCCATTTGATTCAAATTTCAAACAATTGTCCATTACTTTCAGCAAGCTTACTATTGTGTCTCATTGTGGTTCGTAATTTGTATATTTTTCCTATGTTCATTTTTACGCTTTATATAAGGTTACCTCGAAGGAAAAAGGGAAGTCAATTGACAATAAAATTCTCTGTAAAGGAGTTGGTTTCTTTCCTCTCTGTTGTCACCATGATCAGAGGAAATTGCGTCTCTGTATTTTTAGAAGATATTTCTTGTCAGGCCAGTGCACATCAGACAGAGGGCTATTGGTACTATGAATGGAACAGTTTTGCTTCAGGCAGCCCACGGTCAGTGTCAAGCACTTTCAAATAAGTAGCTGTTTGGGAGGAACAAGGTTTAACTGCCTGTACACCAGCCCATCGAACTCTCCCAGGGAAACCGTCTTTGTGTTCTGCCTATATATTCTGTACCTGTGTGCTTCCTTCCACTTCACCTGACGAAGGAGCAGCGCTCCGAAAGCTTGTGATTTTAAATAAATCTGTTGGACTATAACCTGGTGTCGTGCGACTGCTAATTTACTCCCAGGGAAAGTACAAAACAGATACAGAATAGAGTGAAGCAGCCTTTGTGCTGTACTATCAAATAGAGCAGTTGCTCACAAATCAGAGTGTAGCTCTCCTCTGTAGTGTCTAAGCAAACACTCCCAGGGTAGGAACAGTGCGAGTTGCATGCAGAGTACAACTGTCCTGTTCCATTGAAGAAAAAGAGAAGAGTTTGCATTTCCAACTGTGCTTATGATCAGCAGATATATGAAAGTGCTCGACAGCTAAGGAAGCACCTTCTGAAGTGCTGTAATACAGAAATTTACAGATGCCAAATACAGGCCCCACAAATTGCAAACTGATTATGATAAGATAATCTGATTTTGTGACTTTCATTGAGGGGCAAAATGTTAGCCATGGGATCAGGAATAGCTCCCTTGCCTTTTGAGGAAATCATGCAAAGGGATCTTATAGAATCCCTACAGTGTGGAAACAGGCTAATTGGCCCAACAAATCCCTCTGAAGAGTGTCACACCCAGACCCACTCCCTGCCCCTGCCACCCTTTCCCATGGTTAATCCACCTAACACACGCACCCCTGGACACTACAGGCAATTTAACATGGTCAATCCACCTAACCTGCACATCTTTGGACTGTGGGAGGAAACCCACACAGACACGGGGAGAATGCGCAAACTCCACACAGACAGTCGCCCAAGGCTGGAATTGAACTCAGGTCCCTGGTGCTGTGAGGCGGCAGTGCTAACCACTGCCACCCTACAATTATGCATTATGTGCATATGTTTATCTTATAACTGAGAGGGCAGACAGAGCTTTATTGAGCATCACATCTGAAAGATTCACAGTTTTTCAATAGAAAACTCACTAGGATCTGCTTCATAGAATATCTTAACTCCAAATGTACATTATCACGTTCCTAAGAACAATTAATAAGATATTCTTCAAATATTTACAAGAATGTTGCCAGGGTGGAGAGATAAGGAGAGGCTGAAGTAGGCCGGGGCTATTTTCTCTGGAGCATCGGAGGCTGAGGGGTTACTTTACAGAGGTTTATAAAATCATGAGGGGCATGGATAGGGTGGGGGAGTAGGGTAGGGGAGTCCAAAACTACAGGACATAGGTTTAAGGTGAGAGGGGAAAGATTTGAAAAGGAACTAAGGGGCAACTTTTTCATGCGTGTATAGAATGAGCTGCCAGAGGAAGTGGTACAGGTGGGTACAATGACAACATTTAAAAGATAGGTATATAAATAGGAAGGATTTAGAGGGATATGGGACAAATGCTGGTAAATGAGACTAGATTAATTTATGATATCTGAAAGGTCTGTTGCCATGCTGTACATCTCTATGACTCTATGATATTTCATTGAAGTTTCAGTATTTTCATGAGCTGTGACTCACCATCATGAGGGTCTCAATGTAAATTGTTGAAAATCATTGAACGTCGGACACTTACAGTTAGATAAAAATCTAGGCTTTAACCCCATAATTCAAGGAGCATATCCTATGTATGAGTCAACAGCCTTTACTTCAACTAGCCATTAAACATTAATTCAAAACGAAAACAGTTGGAATGTGGAAAAAAAAATTGAAGAGAACCATTTCTTATTTGAAGCTATATTAAACACAGTTTTCACAATTATGTAGTTGATTTGTTTTGTTCGTTGATGGGACGTGGGTGTCGCCAGCTGGCCAGCATTTATTGCCCATCTCTAGGTGCCCTGGAAAAGGTGGTGGTGATCTGCCTTCTTGAAGCTCAGCAGTCCATATGCTAGACTTACAATGCTATAAGGGAGGGAGATCTAGGACTTTGACCCAGTGACAGTGAAGGAACAGCAATATATTTCCAAGCCTGGATGGTGTGTGCATTGAAGGGAACGTGCAGATGGTGGTGTTCCCATGAATCTTGTCCTTGTCCTTCTAAACAGAACTGGTCACAGGTTTTTACTAGGATAACAAGGTGTAGAGCTGGATGAACACAGCAGGCCAAGCAGCATCAGAGGAGCAGGAAAGCTGACCCTTCTTCAGACCCGAAATGTCAGCTTTCCTGCTCCTCTGATGCTGCTCGGCCTGCTGTGTTCATCCAGTTCTACACCTTGTTATCTCAGATTCTCCAGCATTGGCAGTTCCTACTATATCTGCACAGGTTTTTGCTATGTTGATGAAGGACCATTGGTGAATTTCTGCAGCATAGCTCCTAGATAGTAGGCACTGTTGCTACCGAGCTTTGGTGGCAGATTGAGTGAATGCTTGTGGAAGTAATGTCAATTAAGTGGACTACTTGTCCCGGATGGTGTTGAGTTTCTTGAGTGTCATTGAAGCTGCACTTAGCCAGGCTAGTAGAGATTATTCCATCGCACTCCTGACTTGGTCCATGGTGGACAGACTCTGGGGAGTCAGGAGGTGAATTACTTACCACAGTATTCCTCGCATCTGACCTGGTCTTGTGGCTACAGTGATTACATGATGAGTCCAGTCAGTCTCTGGTCAATGGTAATGCCCAGGATTTTGAGAGGGACGAGTCAGCGATGGTAACATCTTTGAATGTCAAGGGGGCGATGGTTATGTTCTCTCCTGTAGAAGCTGCATGTGATGCAAATACAACTTGCCATTTGTCAGCCACAGCATTCATATTGTCCAGGTCTTGCTGCATTTTTATGAGAACTGCTCCAGCGTCTGAGGAGTTATGAATGGTGCTGAATATTGTACAATCATCTCTGAACATCCCCACTTCTGACCTTATGATGGAGAGATGGCCATTGATGAAGCAGCTGTAGATGGTTGGGCCTAGGACACTACCCTGATGATCTCCTGCAGAGATGTCCTGGAGCTGAGATGACTGATCTCCAACAAGTACGACCATCTCTGTTTGACAGGTATGACTCCCACCAGTGGGGTGATTTCATTTTTCTTTAATCATTCACAGGATGTAGGCATCACTCGCTAGGCCAATATTTATTGCCCATCCTATAATTGCCCAGAGGGCAGTTAAGAGTCAATCCCATTTCTATGGATCTGGAGTCACTTGTAGGCCAGACCAGGTGAAGATGCACTAAAGGGCATTAGTGAACCAGATGGGTTTTTCCCAATGATCTACAATGGATCCATGTTCATCATTAAGCTCTTCATTCCAGAGATTTTTTTGAGTTCAAATTCCCGCATCTGGTCCCCAGAATATTGCCTGAATTTCTGGATTAACTGTCCAGCGATAACACCACTAGGCCATTGCCTCCCCAGAGTTGATTCCCCTTAATTGGAATTTTGCTAGAGCTCCTTGATGTCACGTTCGGTCAAGTGCAGCCCAAGTGTTAAGTACAGTTACTCTCACCTTAACTCTGGAATTTGGCTTTTTCGTCCATGTTTGAACCAAAGCAATATTGAGGTCAGGAGCTGAGTGGCCCTGGCGGAATCCCAACTGAGCGTCACTGAGCAGGTTATTGCTGAGCAGGTGCTGCTTGATAGCACTGTTACTGACACCTTCCATCACTTTACTGATGATCGAGGGTAGACTGATGGGGCAGTAATTGAATGGGTAAGATTTGACCTACTCTTCTGCACAGGTGACATGGTGCAGGAAGAATCCCAACATACTTATAGACATATTGAACTTTTTATTACGATATATGTTTGTTATTTTTTTCAATGATGTTGATACAGCCAACAGATGACTGTTGATGTAAACTTAATTGCTGTCTGTTGAGAGAGATCCTGGATTGTT